GGCCGATCAGAGGCAGAGCCCTTGGAGAGGCCCCCGGCCAGGTGGACATGCCCTGAGGGGGGCGCCCCATCCCAATGTGGGCACCCCATATCCCACGGAACACTGCTTAGCTATTAACAAAGAGGAAATAGTGCCTCTGGGACAGTGTTCATGGGTCTCGAGGGATGATGCTGAGTGAGCCAAGTCAGAAGAGAAGGGCACTTACAGGGAGGTCCTAGGGTAGACTAGAAGCGATAAAGCAAACCAACTAGCAAAACACAGCGACAGTAACTCAGACGCTGAGAAAAATCCACCAGTTACCAGAAGGGGCAGGGTGGGGAGTGAGGTGAGGGGAGTGGGCAGTGGATGCAGCTGGAGGGGCACAAAGGAGGGTAAAGCTGTGCTCCCCAAATCACATGGCTTCACAAACTACTGGCAAATCAAGGATGTCTGAGGAAAAACAGATTTCTCGAAATGTCAAAGGAAAACACAAGGTGGTATCGACGTAGGCAAACGGGGCGACAGCTGACTCCTCAACTCAGGACGGCCTTGCTGGACGAAGTGTGGCCGGGCTGACTGGGGACAACCGTCTTCAACACAGGCTCTTCGGCCTCCGGGGCTGTTGCGGATGGGACCAGGCCCAAGAAGGGGCGGAAGGCCAGCTCGCGGGCGTCCCCCAGAGGCCAGGGCCAGGCTTCAGTGATGGGAGCTGGCACTCAAATAGAAGTGCACCCGTATTTTTCGTCACAAGTAAAGCGAAGAAACACGGATAACCTCTTTTCTAGTACCAAAACGTAGCACTGAAGCCCGTGGCCTCTGGTCGCAGCAGGCAGCTCCAGGCACACCTCCTGGGGAAGAGGGACACACAGGGTTAGTGGCCTGGTGGTGAGGAGGCCACCCGCGCCCCTCGGGGCAGCCCCGCCACTCACCCAGAGGACTCGCGCACTGAGCTGCCGAGAGCCTTCCGCCCAGTCGGATGGGATACTGAAAAGAGGTTGGCCGAGAATGATTCGTCACAAGTAAAACGAATTCACCTGGGAAAACCTCTCTTCGAGCACCACAGAACAGAACTGTCCAGAACCCCAGCACTTCCTCCGGGAAGACGACCTAAAGACAGACTGAACAAGGAGGCAGAGACCCCACACAGTGTGGCTTTCAGGCAAGCCCTGGCTGGTCCTGTCCAGGTGAGGGGCAGACGCCAGAGCCCCCTGGGCTGAGGCATCAAGTCGCGGCCCCTCTGAGGGCAGGAGCCTGTGCAGAATCACTGGGGGGGATTAGTCTCAAGACATGGCTCCCCAGAAAACCCCCTCCCAGAGTCACAGAGGCTGCTGCCTCCCCCACAGATAGGGTCCCCAGTCAATCTGCTGGGAATATGGGTATGGCTGCAGGCAATGCGCCACACCTAAGACCTGGACCCTGAGCCGCTGGCCTGCTCATTGCTGGAGAGAGCGGGTGGGAGTTTCCACTGGACTGTTTGTTTTCCTGGTGACTACAGCAGTTCAGCAATGTTATTGGGGGTGAGGAGCTGCTCCCCTCTGAGTTCCTGTCCAATGTTAGGGGCAATTCTTCACCACAGAACTGAAGACACATTCCCCGCCTCCCTTGCGTGGCGGGGGTAGGGGGCTGCGGCCAGGGTCTCCCCAACTCTGCCACAGACGGGACAGCACCCACAGCTGGGCCGGCAGAGGGTAATCAGACACACTCAGAGGCACAGGCCGGCCACACCTGCAGTCCTCCACGTACATACCAAGTGGCCGCGGCGCCCAGGTCCCTTCCCGAAGGTCCACCGGGCCAGGCAGCTCTCTCCAAGCTGAGATGTGACACCGAAAAAGAAGTGCACCATGTTTGTTTCGTCACATATCAAGCGAAAATAACATGGGCAGCTTCTTTTCAGGCACCAGAGATGGGGTGAGGTCTGAGGGCGCTCACCTCCAGGTGCACCTGGGTGGGGGATGCTGAGGTTAGGGTGGGGCGTGGGGCCACAGACACCCCTGGGGGTGCGAGCTGGAAAGCCAGGGCTGGCTCACCCTGGAGAAGGCGGTGGCCTCCCCAGCCCAGCAGGGCAGCCCTCGGGTGCGGCCATCGTCCCAGACAAAGCAAGCAGGGCCCAAGCCCGCTGCTGTGGTGCCCCAGGGAGCCTTTTTGAGCAAAACCCATAATCAGGGCAAAGCATGCTGGAAGGTCTCCTGTCGGGTCTGCAATGGTGTAGAGAGCATGGCTCAGAAAAACGGATGGTCCCGAACCCTGAAACAGAATCTCCCCCTTGAGCCTGTGGTTCCAGGCAGACCTCCTTTTGAGAAATGAGGAAGCGAGGGCATGGGACCTGGGGAACTGAAGGACAGGTGCGGCCTGCCTCAGTGGGCTGTCCATGCGTGGGACCCCCACGGCCCTGCCTCCTGCTTCAGCTCCTTTGAGCCAGGGTTTTGTGCAAAGGCCCTGGCAGTTCCGTATGACTTGGGACAAATTCACCAACAGAGCAGCAGTGACAAAATGGTATTTTCTTCCCCAAAGTCACTGTCACATCCAGCAAGTCTTCATAGGGAGGGGACTCGCCAGGGGACAGGCTCTGGGGTCCACTATCCTTCCGGTCTCCCAGAGAGGCCCTGGCCAACAGCCCTTCCCTGGACACAAAACACATTCATCGTGTTACCTGCCACTTGTGTGCCGAACCATTAGGACAACACTTCTGAAGTGTGACCACAGTAAGTTACAAGGAAAAGTCACTTTTCACCAAGAACTCACCTAAGATAGGACACTGAGAATAGCTTAACCAAGAGACACTCATCATTGGGGGAAAAAAATGCAGCTTTTCCCAGCCACGGCACAGGGACAGGACAGTGGTAATATTTATGTCCCAAGTAAGATAAAACTCAACTCAGACTGGTTTAAGCAAAAAAGAGTTTTAGGCTTTATAGATTTCATAAGCTTCTACGTCCAAAAAGTACAGGGGCATTGTGAGTTTCAGGCAGGATTTGATCCAGGTGCTCAATGCCACCCAGGCCCTCCTGCCTCTCTAATTGCTCAATCTGCCTTCTATGGGTGCCCCCTCTGTGTTTACACAGCTCCCCCCTGCAGAGTCCCAGGCACTCCCTCTGGGTCCTCTAATGGCTGTAGGGACTTCTAGGCTCACATCCTCACATCTAATGGCTGCAGGCAGCAGAGAGGCCCTGGCGGCTCTCACAGGAGAGGGGGGAACCCTTTCTGCGCCCAGAAGCCTCAGCTGAGACCCCTCGCATCTCACTGGCGCAGTGGACTCAGGGACCCATGTCAGGGGCAATCTCAGCAACAGAGGGAGAGAGAAGCAACTCACTTAACCCGCACCACGGTGGGCAGGGGAGTGGGGGAGACCAACCCAGCCCAGACCATGTGGCAGGGAGAGACAAGGTTTCTGAGAGAAATCGGGGGGAACTGAGGAAAGCAGAAGTGGCACCAGATTGCAAACGTACGCACCCCCGGCCCCACCACCTGTGCCTTCCTGGAGTAGGCGACAGAGCCACGAAGTCCTTGAGGCTGAACTGGATACTGAAAAAGAAGTGCACCGCGAATGTTTCGTCGCGAATAAAGCGAAAAAAACACGGGCAACTTCTCTTTAAGTCCCATGTGAGCGGAGACGACACTGCATGGCCCCGCTGGCGTTGCCCAGGCCCGGCTTCCGGAGGGCCCCGGCCCCATCGGCGCACCAAGCACTCACCCCACGGTGAGGGGCAGGGGGTGTCTGCTGCTGGTGGGCGACACGGCCCGGACGGCGGGCAGCCTGGCCGATGATGGGCTCCCACGGTGGGTGGGATCAAGATCATGAACGGACAGAGGATGGAACCCAGCAGGCAGTGGTGCGGGCGGACGACAGGGTCTGTCAGCACCCCTCAGGCACCCTGCCCACAATCCATCCCTCGCCACCACCTCTGGGCAGGAGGCTTGGCCACGTGACCTTCTTGGCCAGGACATACAGGCGGAAACGCGCTGGCTCCAAGTTTCAGTCTAAAGTGGCCTCTATCTCTACTTTACGTCCCAACCTTGGTGCGAGGACAACATGCACAGTCCTGGGTGGGGGATGTCCAGTCCGTGGCCCTCAGAGGGTCAGCAGGGGTGGGGGAGGCAGGACCGTGTGCAGATGGGACCTGCACAGCCATGCCTCTGAGTCCTGCCGGGCACCAAGCAAGCATCGAGCCCAGCAGGGATCCAACACCAGAAGGCACTGCCCCCCCACCCCCCAGCTTGTGTTGTCTAAGTCAGGTGGGATGGGGAACACAGAGCAGAGAGGACAGCAGAGGCTCCGCCCTGAAGGGCACATCACAGTCACCCTGGGGGCCCCTCGGCCCCACCGTGCACTCATCAGCAGTGGTGCCTACACCTGTGGCTTCAGTCCTGGAAACCCCAGGCAGCAGGTGTGCTAACAAGGTGGGCGGGTACCAGCCCTCACGCAGGCACCAGAGTGCCTAACGGCCTCTGGATAGCTGGGTCTAGAGCTGGCCTCACAAAGAGACACTGGTCAGCACCACTGCAAGTGCACGCACACGCATGTGCACGCACACACACACACACACCCTCCTGAGGACAGGTTGGATCCTGTACAAGGTACTGCACCCTGCATCCAACACTGCCACTGGGGGGGGACCCCCGCAGAGCCTGACTCCAGGGTCTTCCCAGCACATCGGGGTCAGGCTTATGGCCTGGGCTGATTCCTGCTTGAATACTGTTGTTCCACCCGGCCCCCTGCCCTCCTCTGGCTCCTCCCAGTTGCCAAGCGCACCAGACATCACCCCATAGCTGGACGGACTGTCAAACAGGCGACCCACAGTGGGAGCAAAGTGCACATCACTGGCTGACCATTCCCACAGCGGCCTGGAGAGGAATACTGCACATGTATGCAGGCAGCCATCGAGCAGGCCCCCACCGTGAGGGCCCCCAAGGAAGCACCAAGTAGAAGGACACCATAGGGAGGCCCCCGCACCCCCAGAACATCGTCCCCCTCTCCAAATTGGCTTCCACCCCAAAGAGCCCCAGTCAGAGGGCCGCTTCCACCCCTGCACCCCTTCCCTGCCCCTTTGCAGTGGAGCCGGCAACGTCCCTTCCCTGAAGGCCGCATCGGGAACAGGAGGTGCCTCCAGGGTGGGATATGATACTAAAAAAGAGGTTTCCCGTGTATGTTTCATCATCAATAAAGAGAAGACAACACGGACAACCTCTCCTTCGAGTATCGGCGATAAGCACTGATCAAAACACCAAAACCAGACACCAAAGACCAAACTGCTGAATCTTCACCGATGCTGGCGCCTCTCCAGGAAGTTCTCCGGGGCCTAGCAGGCGGGGCCGGCCCGCCAGCACGCTGTGTGGGAGCGGGGAGCACGATCCCAGCCTCCTGGAGCTCAGCCAAGAAGCCCTTTCAGACTGGAGACTGAAAAGAGGTCGCCCACGAAATATTCCCCACCAATACACAGAACAGTTCGTGTACAACCTCTCTCCAGGCACTGGGGCTTCCCCGAGGGCAGAACCGGTAGGTCTCCTGGATGTCGCTAGGTTTCAGCCTGTGAAGGCCTGCCCCCAAGGTTGGTGATGGAGGCCGGGTCGTGGCCAGCGGGGAGGCACGCCCATCCCCCGAGAAATGGCCAGGGTCTCGGAGGCTTCCAGGTAAGTGTAAGTCTAAAAACAGGTGCAGCCTGAGGTCAGCCACAGGTGCTCATGCCCTGCGCCCAGGCCCCCAGGTCTGACCACTGCTAGCCTGCCCGTGCTGTCCCTGAGGCACATTTCATTCCTTAAGGCAGTTTGCCAAATGCTGGGGCCAGCTGCCCTCACTTGTTTACCTACAAAACTCCTTTGAGGGTTTTTTTTTTTTTTTTTTTTGGAGTAGGGGGAATATTGACACATCCAGATTTTTATTGCTTCAGCAGGGAGGTAGGACACCCCTGACAGGACTTGGAGAGACAGAACTTGGAAATTAAGGGAAAGAAAACTGTAGATCTTTTCTCACAAAATTGTGCAAAATAGCCTCTTCCTTAGATGCCACAGCCACACTCAAGAGTCATGGCTTATCGCCACCAAGATACAGCCCCACCAACCACTTACCTGTGCCAAGCACTGGAGCTGACGAGAAGCACCACCTTGTCTGAGGTCGGCACCACCTCCAGGAAGTCCTCCTGGGAAGGATCAGCAAGGAGCATTTGTGCTAAACAGGATGAGCAGGGGAAGGAAGCGAAGCCTCAGTTCACTCCCCTGAACTGGGGCTGTGACCTCTGTCTTGTCCAAGCTGCTGCTTATAAGGAAGAGGGGTCAGTGGGATTTAACAGAAAAGAAAGGAATATGCAGAAGGAAGCTTCTCTTGGAAAACCAGAGGCCCTCTGCAGAAATGTGGCCTCTTCTCCGCCACGGGTATCGCCACCCAAAGATGGGCTGGAGACAAAGGTCAGCGGGTCAGGCACAGGCCCCGGAGTTGGTTATCGACTCGCTCAGCTTGGACCAGGGTTGACGACAAAGCCTTCTCCTCCAAGTCCAAAAGCATCAGATTTAAAATACTCCATGGACCTTTGAGTTCTCATCTTGGTCTCAGAAGCCACCTTCTTTCCTAAAGACCAGCATGTCCAGAACAAACTGGATGCTGAGGAGCCACAGTCCAGGAACCACCACTGTGTGTCCGGGCAGCCCCTTCATGCACCAGATGTCCAAGCTACCTGGGGACAGGCGAGCCCCGCGCCCATCAGGTGGAAAGACCAGCCATCCCTCTGGAGCGGGCTGCACCAGGGGCCACACGGGGACAGCAGAAAGGAGATAAGGAACAGTGACGACCTACCTGTGTGCCCTGAGGCATCGAGCGGCTGCAGGACCCCGTCTCCTCCAGGTGGGCCTCACCGTGAGAAGTTCTCCTGTGGATGGAGAGGACAGGCAAGGTTAGAGGGACAGGTGATGAAAGTCAAAAATAAGGGACAGGCTGAGCAGCTTGTCCTTTCTTCACACCAACAGTGCCCCTTCCTGCAGCTGAGATCTGGACCAGTGGGCCTCTGAGGCACCCTGACATGGACACAGGGCACCTCATCTCATCCTCACTCAACAACAGAAACCCAGAGCACCTCTCTTCAGGGGCCACTGACAAGACACAGCACTTGACGCTCAGTCCCAGCAGTCCTGTCAGCGGGGAGGGGGACACCCTGGTCAGCACAAGTGACGTCAGTCATGGACATGGGGGCACCAGCACCCTGGTCGCCACTTGTCTCGTCCCCTGGAGGGGAGCGGATGGTAACACCCTTCTCTGAAGCTGAGGTCAGGACCAGAGGCCTCCAAGATGGGGTTTGATACTGGAAAAGAGGTTAACCAGGTGTGTTTCATCCTCATTAAAGAAACAGAAACCCAGAGCACCTCTCTTCAGGTACCACGACAGCACGGCATGGAACCACCGGCTCCTCCCCAGACCGCACGTCCAAGCTGGGACTCCTGTGGGCATGGACGCTGGTGTACGCCACTCGTCGAACGCATGCTGCTGTCAGCCTCCCTGCCAAGGACCCCGTGGCGCAGACCTCAAGGGCCTCCCGAAGGGCCTGAACCCGGCATGGCAGCCAGAGGGTCGTGGTGCTACCAAGACACTGGTCACAGAGCTGTCACGGTCACGTCACCCTCAGGCACACCAGTCTCAGTTCCCCCGGAGAGGCACAGAGGCCCCAGGTGGCCAGGGCAGCTCCCCCAAAGCTCCTCCCAAAGTCTCCCGCACTGCGACGGGTGGGCCAGGCGAGCAGTGCCAACCAGGGGCACATACTCCGGGAGTGGATCCCTGAACACCTGGGCATGGGAGGATCGGACAGCATGCCCCTCCCTGAGTGGGGTGGCCTCACACCCAGGAAGCTCCCCAGGGAGAGTGGCCCCACTGGCACCGAGCCACGAGCGCCATGTTGGGGCCTGGCGGAGGCAGCTGGCAGAGGCCCTGTCTTCCATGCCTAGCGGACGCAGCAGGCCTGGTGGGAGAATCGTCTCTTGGCTCAAAGTCGGTCCTTCTTCCAGGAAGTTCTCCAAGGGGAGATTAGATACTGAGGGTTAGTGGACCAGGTCACAAACGGCACAAATAAAGCGTGTGCTCTCTGGTCAACCATCTCATGTACCCAGCACGTGCTGCTGCCTCTGCTTGTCCACAAGTCTCCCTGCCCTGGAAGCCGCCAAGCTGAGGTTTGCTGAGAAGAAGGCCGCCACACGTGAGTTATCATCACACACAAGACAAACGCATCGCCAGCCGCCGGGTGCAGGGAGCGCAGACCTAGCGTGCCCACCCGCTGCAGAGGTTAGCTCCGGGAAAGCTGGCCAGGCGGGATTAGATACCGCAAAGAGGTCGACCGTGTAATGTGCGCCATGAATGCAGCGAACGCGCCACGGACCACCTCTCTCCAGGTACCAAGCAGCAGCAGGGCAGACACCAGGACAGTGGCTCTTCCTCAAAGCTGATATCACCTCCCGGAAGTCTTCCGAGGCGAGATGTGATATTGAGAAGAAGTAGACCATGTGTCCTACGTCATCAATAAAGCGTACACACCATGGTCAACCGCATCTTCAAATACCATGAGGGGGCGGGACCCTGCCTCGCTCCCCTTAATTTGGATGCCCTCCAGGAAGCCCTGGCCATGTGTTTCATGAAGGATCAGCCATCAACAAAAGCAGTGATGGCCACACGCCATGTCCAGTGCCACCACCACCTCGGACGCCCGGTAAGGCGGGGATTGGGGGCTGAGGGTTGATTGAGGGACCAAGTGGCCAGGAGATAAAGAAAACACGAGGTCCACAGCCAATCACCTGGTGATCTGGAGAGTGCCTACCGCACTGGCCCTGCTCTCAAGCTGGCCTGGCCTCCAGGAAGCCCCCCGAGGCTGACTGATGCCGAGATGTAGTGGACCATACGCGGGAAACAACGCGTGTGCGTTATGGTCTACCATCTCTCCAAGTGCTGTGGAATGGTGCCGAAGCCAGACCAGTGTGTCTCCCACGAAGTCGGCTTTGCCTCTGGGAAGCCCTCTGCGACTGAATTTGATATTGAGAAGACGTGGACCATATTACATACGACATAGAGACAGCGCATGTTCTATGGTCAACCATCTTTTCAGGTACCGTGGAAAGGGCTGATGGCAGACCGGCGTCTCTTTCCTCTCGGGAGCACCACCTCCAGGAATCCCTCCAAGGCTAGATGCAGTATTGAGTAGAAGCCACCATGCAATGTCTGCTAGAGATGCAGTGGACGCAGCACAGAGACACCCTCCAGACCCGGAGTGGAGATGCCGCTGGCACGAGCGCAATGCCTGCACTTAGTATTGCCTACAGAAAGCCCCCCGAGGTGCATCTGCTGTTATGAAAAGGTGGGCCAGGTAACATGCGTTGTAAGTAAAGCATATGAAGCATGGTCAGCTTCCGCCACGTATCCCAAAGCAGGACGGCGCCAGAGCTCACGACTGGCCTCCAGAGGCTGATGTGACCTTCCCGGAGACATTTGAGGCTGAATTTGATACTGAAAAGAAGATGACCATGTTACATACGCTGTTAATAAAGACATGCAGTGCTGTTGAACCCTGTCCAGGTACCGTGAGGCCGTGGCTGAGCCGGAGCCTGCGCTCTGCCTTGACTGTGAGGTCAGCGGCGTCTTCAGCGTGTCCCTACTCCAAGGTGGGGTGGAGGCGGGAAGAACGGGCCATGACACCTGTGTGTCAGAGCGCACACACAGCAGGGCCCAGCGCGGCTTCTTGGGGCATCCATGTTGGGTCCAGAGCCAGGGGCTGTGTCTTCCCAAGATGACTAGACTCGATATGAGAAAAAGACAGACTGCACACCCATCGTCAGTGACAAGATCGAGCCAGCACGTCTTCGAGTACCTGGGGTGGCGCAGGTCGTGGGCACCTGCGTCAGCTCTCCGCAGTGCGGTCCTGAAGCCATCTGAGGATGATGAGAGGCAAAACAAGTGACATCCCGCCTTCACGGACATCCGCAGCGCTGACCGCCACTTCTTCGGGCACTGCGGGGTGGGCCAGGTGGAAGCAGGGCACCGTGATAGGGTGCCCACTGTCCTAGGGGAGCCCTTGGGGGCTGCGTCAGACACTGCAAAGGCTGTGTCGCGAGCATGAATGAGTAAGTACACACCTAAGAGTCTACCATTCCGCCAAGGACCGAGGGAGGCCGCCGAGACGTGTGGGGCTTCTGTCTTCGGGCTCTCTCCAGGATGGTTTGGACGGCTGGGCTGGATACCAAGAAGCGGTTTACCGTCCCACATACATACTCAAAATGTATGTGGGACGGTAAACCATTTCTTCAAGTACCGCACAGGACTGGAAGGAGGGCCGGCGTCCGCAAAGTTGCCTCTGGGGACCTCTTCAAGGCTGCGCTTGCCGCTGAGAAGAAGCAGGTCATGGTGGAGACAAACAAGAGTTGCCTGGTCAACCATGTCATTGAGCGCCACAGAGCAGCACCGATCCCAGAAAGAATCAAGGTCTCCTCCCCAGAGACGGCGAGGTTTCCCGAGGCAGAGCTTGACACAAGGAGAGCGACAGCACGTCAGTTCGCGTCATGCAGGAAAGAACATGCCATACAGACAACCGTCTCCTCGGGCTGTGGAGAGGCCGGCGTGGGTCTGAGGCGCCTCCCTGGAGACAGCGTCGCTTTGCGGGAGCCTCGAGGATGGATTTGATACTGAGGGTTAGTGGACCGTGTTACATACGTCACAGATAAAGCGTACGCTATACGGTCTACTATCTCTCCAAGTACCACACGGGGACGTCGAGGACAGAGCTGAGGACACGTCCGGAAAGCCTTCCAGAGCAGGGTCAGAGGGCAGTGGCGCGCCGGACAGGCACCCCGTGACAAGCACACGCAGGCCGGGAGTCTTGTCTCCACGGCCAGGAGCTGATGCTGACGCTGGAACTGGTGGCTTATCCCCACAGCTGGCAACTTCTCCAGGAAGCCCTCCAAGGCTGCAGGTCCCACTGAGCAGGTGTGGACGATGTCATGATGTCATGATTCCAGAAACACTGATTAATGCCTACTCTGTGTCAGGCACCATGTTGAATTAGGGGGCATGGGAGGTGGGCATCGTGGGGGGGGGCATGGCATGTGGCTAACAGATCTGTGGGGGGAGTGGCGAGCATAAGGAGCAGGAGAAGATGGCCCGAGCGCACTCACAAGGAGTTTCTGTGCTGTCACACCGAGCAGGCCAAGTGATGGTCTCCGGGCGGTTGAAGCCCAGGTGCGAGCCACAGTTTGGACATGGCCCAGCTCGGCCACAGGAAAGGCTGATGGGCATCTCTGCATCAAAGTCAGGGACATTTTCAGGAGGCCCTCAGAGGTCACAGGGATTCTGAGCAACAACCACCAGGCCATCTTCATAACAAAGCAGATGCCTTTTGGATAACCCACCAAGGCCGGGAGTCGTCTCATCCCCTGTCTTGGCACTGCCTTCAGGAAACCCTCTGAGACGGATTTTATCCTCCATCAGAGGTGACACTAGTACAAACAGAGGCTAGTATCTCTTCAAGAACACAGCACGTGATGGCGGCTGGGCCGGTGGGGCCTGCGTGTGGAGTGAGCCCCACGGAGGCCTGCATGCTGACGGGGCTACTGGGTCAAGAGGCGGGTCACGTCACACAGACCTCAGGAGCACACCGCGCGGCAATCCAGCTCTTCAAATACAATGGCTGAGGCTGGACGGGCATCTGTGCCCCAAGTCCCGTCCCCTCCAGAGCCCCCAGGCCCCGTTACAACTCGGACATCAAGTGTAGGGATTACCATAAACCCAGTGTTCTCGTCCCTCATGCTGTCAACACCTCCGGGGTGCCCTCCGAGGATGGAGTGGATACTGAGAGTTAGTGGACCATGTTACATAGGTCAGAATCATAAAGCCTACGTTCCATAGTCTACCACCTCTTCAGGAACCATGGAGTGGGGCTGACCCCAGAACCAGGCCTTGTCCCTGCAGTTGGCGTCACTTCCAGAAAGCTTTCTGAGGCCTGATTTGGCATGGGGAAGCAGATACATGGTGAACATAACCCCTCCTCAAGTGTGGGGGGGGGGGCTGGTGCTGGGGGTGGGGCGTCTCCTCTAGGGAGGCCATGCCAACTCAGAAAGATCGAGAAGACCAGCTCGCCGTGCCAGGACGGCTGTGCTCTGGCTAGTGTGTGGGCAGTTGTCTCTTAATCAGAGAGAAAGGCCATGTCAGGCTTGGTGTGGCAGAAGAGGAGGTGCTAAGGGAGGGGCTTCTATGCACAACCGTGTCCCTCAAACTCTGGGGACACTGCCCAAGCTCATCCAAGCCACAACTGTCCAACATGCACTGGCCCTCCCTTTGCACTCAGAGGTGAGCATGCTCAGAGCTGCGTGGGCTCCACAGCTCCAGCTCTGCCCGCCTCCAAGAGGACTCCCTGGAGCCCCTCTATCCCTCTCGCAGTGCAAGCGGCAGCAACCCCACCCCAGGGGGAGGAGGCGCAGACCACAGGCTGGGCTGCCACGAGAGGGCACAGGCAGGCTCTGCAGCACAGGGGAGGAAATGCTCGTCCTCGAAGTCTGAGCAGAACATGGGCCCCTGCTCCCAGTCTAGGTGTCGAAGCCCAAACTCCTGACGGTTGCACGTGAGGGTTTCATCTTCTCCCCAACCTCGCTCCTGACCCTGAGCCCTGACACCACCTCAGCCAACTCAAGCCTTTGCACTGAACCTTCCACGGCACCCTGCTGCGTCTCTCAGGCGGTCACGGAGTTCACGCAGTCAGTCATGGAAATCAGTTTATGCTTATGAGATGCCCATGAGGAGCTGGCGCTCGAGGTGTATATGAGGAAGACACAGCATCTGCCCTCCGGGAGTGACCAGCTGAGCTGGGGACACTCACGGTGAAATGGTCATTGCACAGAGTATTGCAAGAGGCCAAGGTACTGGGAAGGGCAGTGAGCACTTCACAGGAGGATCTTACTAGTCAGAGGGAGCTCCTCAGAAGAAACTGAAAGTACCAGATGGAGGATGAGGAGACTAAACCAGGAGGAGAGGGGACAAGAGTGGACAATGCAGGGCAGAAACAGAGGACAGAAGAGTGTGGACTAGATGGAGCATGGAACAAATGGAGCATAAATGGCTCACAGACCAGATGGATGGAGCAAGGACCAGACAGATGGAGCCTGGGCCAGAGGATGGAGGATGCACCAAACAGATGACTCCTTGGTCAGGAAGGTGGGGCATGCTCTGTACAGAGCACCCACCTGAGTGGAGTGTGGAGAACTAGAAATGAGCCAAAAACAGATGTGAGGAGTAGGTGGATCATTCAGTTTTATACCAAAGGTGAAAGATCCTGGGCTTTATCCTCGAGTCAGGGGAAGACATGGTTAGCTGGTCGAGGATCCAATGAGCCTGCACTTTATAAGTGACCTCCTGCTGGAGTGAAGAGCCGCCGGGTCAGGAGTGGCAGGGAGTGCATGGATGAGTCCGGAGAGAGAGCAAGGCACGGGCAGGGCAGAAGCCCCAGAAGTGGGGGAAAGCGTGAGTGTTTGAGAATAGTTAGGAAGAACGTATGAGATGCGCACGGCCCAGAGCGGGAGAGCAGTGCGGGGGCAACAAGAAAATGTCGCGAACCCCTAAGATCCTGACGCGGGAGCTAGTGCAGAGGCCTCTGAGCTGCAAGGCATGAATGCGGGTGGTGGGCGGGCGCTTAGTTTTGAAGGGTGAGGAGAAGACCTTCCTAGTGGTCTTGAAAGTTCTCTCAGTAGAGGGTAAAATATGAAGTCAAGGGCCTCCCTGGTGGCGCAGGGGTTAAGTCTTGAGATATCAAGCTATGCCAGCCTCTGCAGCCTGAGTGCCATACCCACAGGGCACAGCAGACCTCTCCTGTCTCGCCTGCTGTTCCCCTCAGCAGTAGATTTCAGTCAGTCTGTCTGTTCTGCTTCCCGCTCTGTCTCTGGTGAATCCTCTCACCCCCGCACCTCTGGCCTACACCCCAGTTTTTGCATGCATAAGTAAATGTAAAAAAAGAATCTGATGTCAAACAAAGTGAGATATGGGAGAGCACCGGAAGGGAGGCGACGAGTGGAGGAAGGGCAGCCCGAGTTCTTCCGATTAAAGGGACTCGATCAGGGAAGGCTCAGGAGAGGGGAGGGCTGACCCGTGCTGTGGGACCCTGCGCAGCAGGCGGGCAGCCCTGGGGGAGGGGGAGCAGGGAGGCGGCCTCGGGCTGGGAAGCAGGGACTCAGAGAGCTTTTCATTCCTCGGAGTCCATGACTGGAGAGGAAGTCCCTCACGTGTGCCCTAGGAGTGAGGGCTCTGAAGGAGCAAGTGAGGGTCACTGGCCTCAGCTGTTATCTCCAGCCCCACCACCAGGTACCCCAGAGTAGCGAGGAGTGAAAGGATGGACACCCGGAACAGGAGAGATGGACGCCACAGTGCCCGTGTCCCTGGTGAAGGAGCCATGCACCCTCCTAGCTGCTGCATCCTGAGTGCAGGCGAGCCCCCTCTAGAGCCTCCAAGAGGACACAGGGAGGGGGCTGAGGGGGTGGGGTTTGGACATCTCCTGAGAGCAGATGGCTGGCGACCTGTGTCACTGGCCATGGCTGTCGCTTCCTCACCTGGCCACCTGTTTGGCCCTTCTTTCCATGGCCCATGAACCCCACCCCGCTCATCAATCTACTCCTTGGACTCATCTGCCATGAACGCACCCACGGGCCTGCGGAGACATCAGCCACGAGCACGAGGCTCTGGCATCTGCCCTGTGCGGGCCCAGTGGCCCAAGCCGGGCCCTTGACTCCCAGAGCTCATGCCAAGATGGGAGGGAGACAGACACTCAAGCCCACCCTGATAGGGGCCCTGGAGGTACAGAAGTGGCGGGGTGTCAGGCTCACACAGTATACAGTCCAGAAATAGCCGGGTTCTGCAGAGCAGGCCAGAGCACAGAGAAGAGAGGGAGTCCCTCCCTCAGGAAGGGCTGGGACAGCCATGAGCTCGTCCACTCAGACCCCTCCATGGGCGCAGGTGGCACAGCGGACGGGGTGGGGCGGTGGGTGATGAGTGGATGATCGCACAGGGGGCAAAGTCAGGAGCCTTTTGTTGGCTCACACAGAAACACGTGTGCAAGTGTAATCTTCAACAAGTGAAACGTAAGCCCTTCAAGTCCCAGAAACTGGTCATGTACTTTCTGAATCACCAGAGAAGTTTTTAAAAAAGGAAAGCGTCCATGCAATATAATAATCAGAAGAACAGGACGCAAGCAAGGATTAAAATAAAGAGTATTCAATGTGATTATTTTTAAAGGTCAAACAAAGAAAACCAAAAGGCAAAATGTAAATGGGCTATACAGCCTTCGAAATGGAATATTCGATTCATGTCAAAAGCCTGAATCCAAGCTATATCTTGTCTATTGGAGACACATTTTGAATCAATTAACTAAAAAGAAAATCCGGAGGGTGGGCACAAACAGCTAGGAAAGCCTCAATTTTCATGCCTTAGACATTCAGTCAGCCCACAAATCATGCCCTGACACCCCCCAAACCATGGAATTTATACAGCAGCCAACTGCCAGCAAGCAGCTCTAGGCAGTAGCACCCCAGGTCAGCAAACATGGTAATTTGTTCATATCTCACCACCGAGGCTTTCCCAGGGTGACCTGAGGGGCTTCTCAGGGTCCCCACGTCACAGTCAGAACAGGACACACAGCTCCAGGTCACCACCCAACCCTGGTTTGACCGGATCTATCCCACTTATTGGGCTTCCGGGTAATAGCTGGTCTGCAGAGAACCTGGCTACATTTGCAAACCAGCATTTCATTTTATTTGCTCTTATTGTTCTATAAAGTACATGGAAAATGGAAAACTAAAGTTGCTGATACCTGTGGTAAGAGCACAGATCTCATATACTTAAGAAATTAAGGCCAAGATGGAAATCATTAAACAGTCCAATGGAAACAAGCTTTAGCCTGAATAACTGAATTTACGGCAGTCAACTGTGCGTTTGAAACAAGGATAAAGAACATCCATCATAGAATGCTAGAAATTGCCTGGAAAGGTTCAAAATGTGGAGCTCTCAAGGAGCAAAACTCTTTGAAACTGCGAGTCTCTGCCTCAACTTTCATCTGCACTTTGGACACAGTCCTGTGGAAACAGTTTGAGGTGAAAGCAGGGTTATCTAATTCAGGAACACAAATGACAACAAAAAAAGGCATTTCTGCACTTGAACCCAGAGCAAGTCATTGGACATGAAAACCAACTCAGAAACAGAAGGAGCAACCCACATTGATAGAACATTCACAAACATTGAGAGCAGGAATAAAATAGCATCCCAACATTGGAGGAACGGATAGAAACAGTTCCAGAGCCTTCTCAGCCCTGAAGATATCAAGTAAAAGCAAAAAGTAAATGATAAACAGAGCTCAACTCTTGAGGTAAACAACATAATACTTTTAACAGAAAAAGGAAAAGAAAAGATGCTTATTTTATCAATATTAGGCTGCACTGCCCAAAAAGCTCTAACCAATGTGATAAAGCAAAGAAATATATAAATGTTGTATGCTATTAGAATGAGATTGAAATTATGGCTGTTTACAGATTACTTCATTTGTGTCTATGGAAATCCAAAAGAATCAACTAATAAGCGAGTGAAACTAAAAAGGCCTTTACAACAACATCAGCACCCTATAAACAAGATGTACACCTTACTTTTTAAGGCCCATGAAACATTAACAGAATTGGTTATATCAAACACAAAGACATCAATAAATTCCCCAAAGTAGGGTCTGTATGTCCACATTCTCCAGCCACCATGAAGTATAATTCCGAGTGAGTAAAAAGTATTAAAAAAACACACCCAAAAAAATTGGAAATCAATTAAAAAAAAAAAAAACTCCACTTTTGCATATTTAATTCAGGTAATTGTTCAAGAACAAGAAGGGATGAAAAGCATTTAATTACACATACTTTTAAATGTTCAAAAGACTACATATTAAAACTTAGGACATGCAGTCAAAATTGCAACCAGAGGCAAATTCATACCATGAAATATTTTCATTATTAAAGAAGAATAACATTAGGGAATACATAAGATCCATAA